AGACAGGAAGAGAGGAAGGAGAGAGGCAAGGAGAGAGGCAGGGAGAGAAGCAGGGAGGCAGGCAGGGAGAGAGGCAGGGAGGCAGGCAGGGAGAGAGGCAGGGAGGCAGGCAGGGAGAGAGGCAGGGAGGCAGGCAGGGAGAGAGGCAGGGAGAGAAGCGGGGAGTGAGGCAGGGAGGCAGGCAGGGAGAGAGGCAGGGAGGCAGGCAGGGAGAGAGGCAGGGAGAGAAGCAGGGAGTGAGGCAGGGAGAGAGGCAGGGAGGCAGGCAGGGAGAGAGACAGGGAGGCAGGCAGTGAGAGAGGCAGGGAGGCAGGCAGGGAGAGAGGCAGGGAGGCAGGCAGGGAGAGAGGCAGGGAGGCAGGCAGGGAGAGAGGCAGGGAGGCAGGCAGGGAGTGAGGCAGGGAGGCAGGCAGGGAGAGAGGCAGGGAGGCAGGCAGGAAGAGAGGCAGGGAGGCAGGCAGGGAGTGAGGCAGGGAGGCAGGCAGGGTATTTAAGGGTAGGAAAGGGACATCTGCCAGGAACAGCGAAGGGGGATTCCTTTGTTTTGTTACCATGCTACAAAATGTCACCAGTTTATATGAGTAGTTACCAGCAAGCCGAGCATCAAATCTGTGTGAATGCATTTTACATTTTGATGTAAGATGACGTAGAAAAGGCTCAACGTGCGTTGTTAACGTCAGCAGGGTATAAATAGTATTAGTAATTTGCAGTGAGGAAGTCCTTCAGAGAGCTGATGATGTGCCTTTAGACATTGTCAGCTAGGCGCTAGCTGTCCATCCCTCATTAAGCTGTGTTGCTGGTTGGCAGCAGAGATAAATGATGTGTAATTATGTGAATGATTAAAGTCAGATTCCTCCTGGTCTTTGGGCTAAACAGAGATATATAACGCCAAACGAGGGCTGTGGGACCCTTGGGATGGCTAAATACTCCCGAGCCGGGGTCACAGGGTCAGGGGGTGCAGATTAAGACAAGGGGATTACTGTATTTAATGTTATCCAACCTCATAACGTTCACAGGCCGCTGGTCAAATCACCCATTCCCAGCTACTTACAATGAGATAATGGTCTGGTTATCGTCTTAAAAGTAGAGATAGCTGGCGCTTCTGAAAAGTGAGAGCACTGAACCGTTTAGTCATAGTTTTAACCTGCAAAACCGAATTGAATTAATTAATTATCTATCATCCAGCTATATGTGACTTTTCAAACCAATTTCCACTGCTGAAATTCAAAATGTACTGAATTGTATTTGTAACACTGTATATGACAGGGTAGTTTGTGTGATGTGTGGGGCAATATGTATCCAGTGAAGGCTTGCAGCGGGCTGACTTGAGCTGTGTGTTGAACGTGTGGCCGAGGTTCAGGGTAAATTATTTATGTCAAGCACAGCAATTTATTACCAAGCAGCTATTGATTGGGTCCCCCTGAAGCTGTCATGTAAATTCAGGAAGAATCATTGCCGTCATCTGCAGCTTACACACACACACAAGCACACCAATACACACTGGCCACTAACATGGCCACACACACATGCAAATACTCACATACACACACCACAAACCAAAATGACCACACGGCTCCTGTCTGTTTGGTATCAAATAAATGTAGTTGTATCAACCTTAAGACCAACGTATAACTGATCAGAAGGACATATTTGAAACAGTACAGCTTCTTGCAATAAGCTATACATTTTGAGATTCTTTAAATAAGAATGTATCTGTCTCTGAAATAAAAGTAGTAGAGTTGGGGATGTTTTAAATGAGGCTGTTTCTGAAATAAAAGCTTTGAGCTAGCTGGACCTCTGTGTTTTTTAGGGCCAGTATTGCTCAAACTGGAGACTGGAGAGCACTTGACTTGGCTGAGGTGATATTGCCGTTGGGCAAAAGTCTTCAGGGCTGGCTTGTCCTTCTGATAGCTAGCCATGATAGATCAGCCCCTGTCCAGCGAGAATTACTCTCTCTCTCTATTCCTCTATCTCTCTCTTCCTCTTTATCTCCTCCCTATTGCTCTCTCCCCCATCTCTCTTCCTTTCCCTCCACCCCTCTCTCTCTCACTCTCTCTCCTTCTCCCTACCTCCCTCTCTCCATCTCTCTCCCTCCATCCCCCTCTCTCTCCATGCCTCTCTCTCTCTCTCTCTCTCTGTCTGTTCAGTAGTCTGATTGAGGGTGAAATACGAGGGGGCTGCAGCTGGAGGGGGCCACCATGCCTGGTAATTACATCTATTTTTATGACCCGTGCTAATGGCCCTCAGGGTGAGGGAAACAATAATAAATTAATAGAATATGAACTCCCGCTCAACAGAAATCTCCAGCATTTCATTTTGGGCGATCCTCTGCTCTGGCAGATGAAATGCCACCCTGATCAATCTGACGAGGGGTGGACCCAGAGGCAGCCGGCGCGGGGTTGCCTGCCTGGTCTGCCCCCCTCTCACCCCACTCAGATTAGAAGCGGTCTGTCAGAGATAAGGAGGATGGGGATTTTGGCTCCCCCAATTGGCTTTTTACAGTTGTATCCACAATAACAAACTAAGAATCATTAGATAAACCAAAACATATTTCTACATCTGTACGTCTTTATAGGATTCTCAGATGAGAGCTTAGAGAACAGAGGAATGAGACTGTAGCAGGGCTGTTTTGACAGGGATATTGTTTGAGCATGCAAATTCAAAATAGATAAGTCAGGCCAACGGTGAGGGAGCAGATCAGGACAAGCTGAGGGAAATGATCTGTCAAAGAAAACAGATTTATTCTTGTGTTATGACTCTCATATGTGATTTATACAAAATAAGGCAGTGAAACCCTATTCCAGATTTGCCTTTATCAGCCAGAAAGACCGGCCAAGCTTGTCAATGTTGTTGAACCCGTTTCAAGTGGCCATGTTTATTGAGCTCCATAAACGCAAGCAATAAACTGGTGGGATTTTATACTGTGCCAAGCCAAGGACAGGGCTCCTTGTAAGAAAGCAGCTTGGGCATGAAGTGAATTAGTCTACTGTTGAAATCGTTCATGGTCTTCAGTGTCTGGACAAGAGGCGAGAAGAGACCATGTTCCCTTTCCACAGCCACCACATGTCTGTCTGTCACCCTTTGTAATCCCAGGGATAGAGACATTTCTCCTCGGGACTTCTTGTCCACATGTAAGGAGAAGGTACATTGTGGTGAAAATGTGATACAGTATAGATGATTCACTATAACCAACTGTATGTTGAAGTTCTCTTGTGTTTACTGGAGAAAAAAAATACTATCATGTAATGTAAAAACGTTATAATATTTAAGGACGATTCTCTCCTAACTTCACAATTCCCTATATGAAAGCTTCCTTATTCAAAATGGAAAAAAAAAGTGATCTCAGAAATGCATTTCTTGCCCTCTGCTAGCTTACTCACCCAATGGACTCAGCAGTCGAGTGGAAAAGGGCCTTCAACCACACAGACAGGTCTCTCAGATTTGGTCAATATTGTGTCATGTTTGGTCAAACCCCACCAAGGCAGTGGTGTGGAAATGAAGATGTAAATATTGATATTTCATTAGAGGAAATCACCCACTCCGACGGCACTTAACCGGGCTGCCTTTGGAACGCGGCGGCCAGAGTGCCATGTGACCTGCGGAGTCGGCAAGTCACTTCATTACTCGATTAAATTGAGCGGAAAACGGCAAGGCAACGACACGAGATTCCATTTGGAGCCATAATTTAGGCCCTGAAGAGAGAGACAGAGCAGGGGGAAAACACAACCTCTCCATCTCACAACACCGGATTAAATTCAAGGACTTTTAACGTCAAACGTAATTGCAGGCTGCTGTGTTCAGTGTGTGCATATTGCTGAGAGGTGTCTGGTATATCAGAAGAATTCTGCATTCTCTCGTACAAATCTAGAACAAATGCTTTCTTTGTGCTGTCACATTGAGGCCAAGGTGTTTGTTCTGCTTGAGTCCTCCTTGGCATTAAAAGTGTGCACAAAGCCTGGGCTGTGATTGCAATGCCAACCTTACGCAGCAATCAGGCTGCACCTTGTCTACACTTGCGTGACAATTTCCTTGCGGTCAGTCCAGATTCTGTCTCACTAATGGCAAGGTAAGCCTACTCCAGTGCAGACAGGGAAATTTCACAGCAAAGGATTTATAATGCATTTTGAGGTGTGGTTGCACAGGAACCTGCACTAACCTGGACTTATGGCTTCCGCCTACAATTATATTAATATGTGCTCCTAGCAGGTTTGGTAAAGTGTCTGTATTTTGCTGGTCCTGTCTGTGGTTCACAGACCCCTGGCCACCCGGGTTGCCCTGCCCTGGGCCCTGCACCTGTCTCTGTCTCTGTTTGATCAGCCTCCATTCTACTGAGTATTGATTTCCCTTCACATTGTGAAGGCCCTCACATTACGATCGCAATCTGTTAATGAATGTATCCTCCAGCTCTCCCCCTCCTGTGGTCATCACTATGATAAGGGAAATTGAACTCTCAGGTAGCCCCTTTCCTCTCTCTCTCCCTCTTTACTTTTTTCTATCTGTTTCTCCCCCCTTCTGTTTCTCTCCCCCTCCCTCCCTCCCTCCCTCCCTCCCTCTATCTTTCTCTCCCCCTCTCTCTATCTCTCTCTCCCTCCCACTCTCCCTCCCTCCCTCCCTCCCTCCCTCCCTCCCTCCCTCCCTCCCTCTTTCTCACCTGTGTGTGTGTGTGTGTGTGTGTGTGTGTGTGTGTGTGTGTGTGTGTGTGTGTGTGTGTGTGTGTGTGTGTGTGTGTGTGTGTGTGTGTGTGTGTGTGTGTGTGTGTGTGTGTGTGTGTGTGTGTGTGTGTCCACCACAGTGTCAGGGCTGGGGAGATAAATATCACCCTGTGACTCTGCCCCAATGAGATAATTTATATTTAAGAGTAAACATCAGGAGGAGGTGTGGTGAGTGGCCTGGTCAATACAGTAATCTATCGCCTCTTAATCACCTGGGAGAAGATAGTATTGCAACAGTAAACTTGTAAAAGCAATTATTTTAATCAGGCGACGTCGGAGAGGGCTAATATGTTGTCAGAATGGGGCGCCGTGGGCACGCTAGGCCAGGACAGGAGGGAGCGTGGGGAAGGAGGGAGCGTGGGGAAGGAGGGAGCGTGGGGAAGGAGGGAGTGTGGGGAAAGAGGGAGTGTGGGGAAGGAGGGAGCGTGGGGAAGGAGGGAGCGTGGGGAAGGAGGGAGTGTGGGGAAGGAGGGAGTGTGGGGAAGGAGGGAGCGTGGGGAAGGAGGGAGCGTGGGGAAGGAGGTGGTGTGGGGAAGGAGGGAGCGTGGGGAAGGAGGGAGCGTGGGGAAGGAGGGAGCGTGGGGAAGGAGGGAGCGTGGGGAAGGAGTTGGCGTGGGGAAGGAGGGAGTGTGGGGAAGGAGGGAGCGTGGGGAAGGAGGGAGTGTGGGGAAGGAGGGAGCGTGGGGAAGGAGGGAGCGTGGGGAAGGAGGGAGTGTGGGGAAGGAGGGAGCGTGGGGAAGGAGTTGGCGTGGGGAAGGAGGGAGTGTGGGGAAGGAGGGAGCGTGGGGAAGGAGGGGATGTGCCCAGTTTATTGACCACTGAAGGGTAGTAAGGGGGAGATGGCTATCTGTTCCTCTCTTCTGAATTCTCTCTCCTCATCTTCAGAGGATCTGTGTGGATGGTTGTTTTTATGTCCATATGTAGAGGTACTGTAGCAGTAGCAGCCTGTATGTTTTGGCTATATCAGTCCCTAAATACAGGACTATTAAAGGCCCAGTGTACTACTTTTGTGAAAAAATATTTTTTTCTAAAAAAGATAAATATGATTTTTCAGTGGGTGCTGCAGCACCCTCAGCACCCCATTTCCACCGGTTATTTTAGAAGGGGGAAATTACAGTGATCCAGACAATTTCATCTCATCCAGCTGCTGTTTGTCAGGAATGGGGACAGGATTTCTGCACCTATCCAGTGTATGTGACAATAAAACCTAATCTTTTTTTTTTTTTTTAGCAGGCCTTTAGGGCAGGGTGACCCTTCGCTGTGTGTGTGTGTGTGTGTGTGTGTGCACGCGTGCGTGCGAGCGTGCATGTGTGTGTTTTGTGTTTGTGTGTTTTCATTACCTCCCCCTTCACCCAGCGCGGCCCTGAGTGTGTGTCATGTCCTCGACCCCTCCAATGAGGATCTGTCTCAGTGCTAATCCCACTCACACCAATAGCAGTGTGACAGGAAACAAGGGCTGACCAGACGGCTTTGTGTCTCTCAGACCTTTGCACCGATTTACTGCCTTTACTTACAGTAAAGCCCACTGGAGTGCTGTGACACCCATTTCAGAGAGGACCTTCCAGAGTGCATTTAAAATTAAACACCTCTCCTGCTAACATGTGCCGTGGCATGTACTGTAGTCAGCTGGGGTGGAACCAACAACTCATGTTTTGGTTACTGATCAGATCTGTCCATGAGAAAAGACCTTGAAAGTGGACGGTACATCTTCGGCTTCACAGTGTTTTGATTAAAATAATCTGAGTGCCGTTGTTAACCTGCTGATGTTCATTTAATAGTTCACCCTTTATTTGAGATAATGGCATTGATCTATCGACAACGTGTGAATATATAGAGCCCATTCAATTATTTTCACTGTTTTCTATTTCATCTTGAGGGCAAAGCAGGAGCTGGAAACACACTCTTTCACACACTCACTCACACACACACACACACACACACACACACACACACACACACACACACACACACACACACACACACACACACACACACACACACACACACACACACACACACACACACACATACAAACACACACACACACACACAAAATGATATAAGTGCCAGTGCATTGTAGTGCAGGTAACTGCAGGTGAGATAGATTCTCAGAGTGTTCTCTTCTGTCTCCCCAGGCTTCTCCACGCTGTCCCTGGCAGACCAGATGAGCCTACTGCAGAGCGCCTGGATGGAGATCCTGATCCTGAGCATCGTGTTCCGCTCGCTGCCCTACGAGGACGAGCTGGTGTATGCAGAGGACTACATCATGGACGAGGAACACTCACGGCTCACGGGCCTGCTCGACCTCTACGTGTCCATCCTGCAACTCGTTCGCAAGTACAAGAAGCTCAAGGTGGAGAAGGAGGAGTTTGTCACCCTCAAGGCCATCGCTCTCGCCAACTCAGGTAGGACAATATACACCACCTCAGTATAGAGCGTAAATAAGATGGCAAACAGGGATGATAGGTGAATATCTGGATATCCCATTCTTTACAAGTATTTGTAATTGATGCAATATGACAAGAACAATTAATGTAAAAAAAACTATACCATTTCTAATTTAAGGTAATATTGTATTTTTGCAACAAACAAATCACAGTATGATTTTTCAGTATTTTATGGACAATATTATATTGTAAAATGGGCAATCACAAGCAATATACATGTAGGAAGTAATAATAATTGGGACTTTTTAACTTTTTGTAGTCATTTTATGAATGAATCTAGTGTTTATACATTTTAGGACACATTTCATTCATCTCAAAAACTATCATACATCAAAGCTAGAGCAAGTGTTAGTTTCAAATGAACAAGCTATTACTATTAAATGTGTTCTGAAATTTTAAAACACATTAATTTAGCCAACACATCAAAAATGATTTGTGTTCCTTATGGGGTTCTTTTAAATGTAAAAACAAAAATTACATTTACATTGCACAAATGCAGAAAGCTGCTTCTAATTTTATATTGGAATATTATCTTACTCATAATAATAAAAAAAAATCATTTGTATTTGTTAATCATCTCCATTACATTAATATACATGAAATATATATATTTATATATCTATCTCATGACCAAAATGTAATGTCAGGGTTTAAAGTAGAGTTGTTGACTTTACCCTTTAGTTTGGAGTGAGAGATATAGAGAAGGAGGGGAGGAGGGGAGGACTGAGCTTTTAATTGAAAGCCTTCCATGTTGTGATATTTCTCCATCCATCCCTCTCTATCTCCATAACAGAAGCTGCAGGGCACGCCAGCCATGGGAGATAAATATAGCATTTCATTAGGACCACAAAGCCTGTCAATAAAATGTGTTAAGTCGAATGGAATGAGTATCAGGGAGTGATGGTTCTCGTTTGTTCCAATGCGAAGACGGCGCACTCGTATCGACAGGCTGCTTTTGAGAAGGCAGGGCCTGTCCCTCTCTGATCAATGCCTGGCTGGGCCACAGGCGTGCTTTCTTTTTTTTGTCTGCCTGACAAATGAAAATGCTGATGGTGGGCTTTGCTTTGCTTTCAGACGGCAGATCTTTGTTGGGGGGTGGGGCGGGTGAGGTGGGGAAGGCAGGGGAGGGAGTGAGGCCTTGTGTCGGGGTGGGGAGGGGGCGTCCAGAACGTTTGAGCAAGGTCTCTGTGAGATTCCTCTCCCGGGAGCCCCTCTGTCTGACAGCTGTGAAAATTCATAGCGATTGATTTTGTAATTAGCAGTTTATCAATGGGATCGACGTGGGCTCTCTGATGGATTGCAAGGAAATTGTTTTCTTCTCTTAAAATTTTTATTTAAATTAGCCAAAATTTTCATTTAAAAAATTTTTTTCCCTTTTTTTTATAAAAATTAAAAAGGGGGAAAACATTTTTTAAAAATTGAAACCTTTTGTTGTATTTTTTTTTCCCCAAAAAAACAAATCCAGCCACCGGGGAAAAAATTTGATTTATTGAAAAAACCCCCTTAATAAAAAATCAAGGGTTTTTTTGGGGGTTTTTTTTCCCTTTTTCCCCCAAAAAACCTATCCGGGGCCGGGAAAGGCGGGTTTTTGATAACCTGGGGGAAGGGTTGGGGGGGGTGACAAAAAAAAAATTTGGGGTTTTTTTTTTCCCCCCTTTTTTTTGGGGGGGGGGAGGGGGGGGGTTTTTTGGGGGGGGGGAAAGGGGGAAGGCCCTTGTGGGGGTTTGGGGGGCCTAAAAACCCTTTTAAAAATTTTTAAAAACCCCCCCGGGGCCCCTGGGGGGTTTTTTTGGGGGCCCAAATGTTTTTTTTTTTAAAACCCATTTGGGGGGGGGGGGGGGGTTTGGGGGTTTTTTTTCCCCCCCCCTTTTTTTTCCCCCCCCTTTTTTTTTTCCCCCTCCCTTTTCCCCCTTTCCCCCCCACCTTCCCCTTCCCCCCCCCTTCTTTTTTCCCCTTTTCCCCCCCCCCCCCCTTTCCCCCCCTTTTCCCTTTTTTTTTTTTTTTTTCCCCCCTTTTTTCCCCCCCTTTTCCCCCCCCCCCCCCTTTTTTTTTTTTTCCCTTTCCTCTCCCCCCCCTCCCCCCCTTTTTTTTATTTTTCCCCCCCCCCCCCCCCCCCCCCCCCCCCCCCCCCCCCCCCCCCCCCCTTTTTTTTTTTTTCCCCCCCCCCCCCCGGGGGGGCCCCCCCGGGGGGGGGCCCCCCCCCCCCCCTCTCTCCTCTCTCTCCTTCTCTCTCTCCCTTACTCTTCTCTCTCTCTCCTCTCTCCTCCTCTCCCTCTCCTCCCTCTCTCTCTCAATTCAATTCAATTCAAGTTAAGGGCTTTATTGGCATGGGAAACGTATGTTAACATTGCCAAAGGCAGTGAAGTAGATAGTAAACAAATGTGAAATAAACAATACATATTAACAGGAAACATACACTCAAAGTTCCAAAAGTATAAAGACATTATAATGTCATATTATGTATATATACAGTGTTGAAACAATGTGCAAATAGTTAAAGTACAAATGGGAAAATAAATAAACATAAATATGGGTTGTATTTACAATGGTGTTTGTTCTTCACTGGTTGCCCTTTTCTTGTGGCAACACCTCTCTCTCTCTCTCTCTCCCTCCCTCTCTCTCGCTCTCTCTCTTTCTATTGCTCTCTTTTCTTCTCATCTGGTCTCTAGCTCTCTTTATCTTTCCTTCTTGCCTGCACTTCACCTTGAGACCTTTGTCCCCTTGCTCACTTACTCTTGGGATCAGATCAGTTTAATGGCTAAAATTTCAAACACACACACACACACTAATGTCTCTGATATATTTATTAGTTCTATGATTTATCACGGTAATTAAAATGCATTTAATTGCTAATAATTTGTCAGTGCAATGACTTGTCTAGATTTCCTAATATTCTGTTTATCACTGACTGATCCTGTTTGACACAAACAGGAGAAACAGTAGTCAGTTAGCTCTCTGACTTCCTGGTGATTTTCCCTTTTGTTCTTCTATTCTGCTCATCCCCCCCACCCACCCCATTCACTTTCCAAAACGACCTACTTCCTTTTACCGCTGTGGATTGGAAAGCGTCAGGGTGAGAAATGTCTCAAGGTCTTGAGAATACAGTTGTTCCAGTCAATGAATTTAGGATGAAGTCTGAAATCTGTTTAGCCTTTTATTGTCCCGCGTGGTGAAATATGCACCGCCAAGGTGAGACGAGTCAGGCGACCAATGACACGCCATCTCACGAGTGCCAGACACTGGTTAACCACTTAGATAACCACAACCCCAGTCTAGAGAGAGAGAGAGAGAGAGAGAGAGGAGAGAGAGAGAGAGAGAGGAGAGAGAGAGCAGAGAGAGGCAGAAGAGAGAGAGCAGAGAGAGAGAGATAGAGAGTAGATAGAGAGAGAGAGAGAGAGAGAGAGAGAAGAGGAGAGAGAGAGAGGGAGGAGGCAGAGAGAGAGAGAGGCAGAGAGGGAGAAAGAGATAAATTAAAAGTGAGTGTTGCAACATTCTGCACATACAGTAAAAGTAGCCGTGAACAATGCAGTACACCGCGGCACATCAGAGAGAGAGAGAGAGTGACTGCAATGAGTCAGAGAGAAAACCCTCTGAGACTGAAAGAAGGTCAGGGAGGATGTGGGCTAAAGAGTCAGTATGAGACACATGGTGGTTGTTGTTGATGTAGTTTAACTGTTACAGGCCTACATACATGTAGTTTCACTGTTACAGGCCTACATACATGTAGTTACACTGGTTAAATCAGAATTTATATCATTCATTTGATATGATAATCAATCTGTCAAAATATGGTTTCCAGCTAGCTAAAGCACTAACAGTCCTATGATAATGTAATCAAATGTACAATAGTATTTACTTTCATTCCATTATTTGAGCTACATGTTTCTGTGAGAGAAGAGGGAGGAAATGAATGACAATGTGAAGGAAGTATCATTTCCTTATTGAAGCTAGTTTATACCATCCGATTCCCAGATGGAGTGTTTAAAAAGAAAACAATCTATTCCGGAGCTGTCCTTTGGAACAGTGAGGTGTTTAATGTGTGATCATTCACTGGGGATTGGCTGCTATTCATTCCATTGTGTGCTCCAGGAATCAGCAGGATTACATTGATTTTCAGTCTCATTGGTCAAAGGCCATATGAAAATCAAACCCAGGGCACCAGGCAAAAAAAATACATTAAGCTTTGTGTTTTTCTTTACATTCTATTGTTTATCTTGTCGCAGTGTTAATTATGCTGATAACGTGTCCCATAGCTGACTGCACTGATAGATCAGTAGTCCCGGCCCAGCCATGTTTTACTTTAGCAAAAATACAATTGAGAGGATGTGTTACTGTTTACAGAACTATTTTACATTTCAATATATCAAGAAATGGTTTGTGTTGTCATTGTATCTCTGAAGATATTAACATAAGACTCATGTTGAAGAGCCCTCTCTCACTGACCCTGTCCCTCCCTCTCCTCTCCAGACTCCATGCATATAGAGGACGTGGAGGCGGTGCAGAAGCTCCAGGATGCGCTCCACGAGGCCCTGCAGGACTACGAAAGCAGCCAACATCAGGAGGACCCCCGGCGGGCAGGCAAGCTGCTCATGACCCTGCCCCTGCTGCGCCAGACCGCCACCAAGGCCGTGCAGCACTTTTACAGCATCAAGGTGCAGGGCAAGGTGCCCATGCACAAACTCTTCCTGGAGATGCTGGAGGCCAAGGTCTGATGGAGGAGCAGGTGCCCCCTGTGAAGGCGATTGGGACAGGGACAGGAACGGGGACGGTGGTGTGGATGGGGCAATGCAGACAGAACGACATGGACAGAAGGGACTCAGGACAGGAGAGGGACACCCTGCTGACTGAGACAGGAGACAGACTGACCTCTCTTGCTCTCCGCCCCCTCGGACCCCAGACATTAAAAAAATTAAAAATAAAGAAGAACAAATGCAAAACTTGGTTATAAGTATAAATATAAAATGATGCAGATTAATTTAAAATATATAAGAAATACTATGTACAGTAATCATTTTGTTTTGTTTATGGTCTGTGGTCATACTGTATGTGAAGGATCTCCCCTCTCTCTATATCTTCAGAAGGAATAATTGCAGGCTCTTAATTAAGATGGTTTGATTTCTAGTCAGAACCTCAGGACATCTCCAAATGTGTTCTGATGACAACACACATGTCAACCACTATGAACAGACTCACTTGTTAGACAGTTATTTCACCTCCTGGACTTGACCAGGACATGTACTGTATATATGTATTAATAATGGAAAACTGAGTGTACAGTTAAGTCTGGTGAACCCGACAGCCATTTTCTCTCGTTCTCCTTCTTGGGGAAAAAAAAGAAAGAAAGAAAGAATAAAAATGGTTACCTAAATGTGAGCTCTATTGATCTAAATGCCCTTGAATATACCTCTTCATAGCAGTGAGCTGTGTGATATGGATCGGTCTCAGACAGGAAGAAGACAAACTGGTCACATGACATGTTTAACCAAACTAGCGTAGGCAGGTAGTCAGTCGTCTTATTCTGTAGTAACTCAGCAATAAAGGGAGCCGTGCCATGGGCAAGCCATGTTAAACCTCCTCTACCCTCTGCTTCACAATGCTGCTGTCTGTCTGTCTGTCTGTCACTATAAGACCCATGTGTCCCGGCATTGGACACACCACTCGCCTGTTGCACTGTAGTGTTTCTCCTCTGTAGATGTTGTTGTTGATGTTACTCTATCTCAAACCCCACATTTGGTCATTGTTCAAGCCGATGGAAATTGCCTCTTGGCAACTGAGCGAATGACCTGATTTGGGCAGGCTGAAAGTTGATGAGTGGGTTTGGGGCGGAGGTATCAAAGGATTTATTCTGAGTGGCAGAAGTCCAGGAGATTCCATGTTCAAACAATCAGAGGCCCATATGTCAAACGCTCTATTTTGGGTCCTTTAAGACCGTGACAGAGTCCTCCCACACACAGGGCGCAAGGTACCCAGCATCTGCTATCACCATTTTAGAAGCTGCCGGTCTTTTTATAGCTGGGGCTGCCTTTATGGAGCTCCATCCAAACGGAGGTGAATGGCAGGTGCAGTGCAGTGATGTGTTGGTAGCCAGCGCCTTGCGCTGACTGGGGGTATTTTTAACCCAGAAGGAGGTTATTGGCGTAGCTGTCTGCCTGCTCTCTACTGTGCTGCTCTGCCTCCCTCCAGGAGTACAGTAGACACGTGGAGCGCTGCTTGACTCCATGTTGACACAGTAGCTGTGGTGTAACACCTCCCAACAGGCCAGGAGACAGACAGGCATTCTTAAAGATGGCAATTCACCCCCCAAGGTGCTCTTGTGAGAAGCCATGCAGACTACAAAGTGTCAGCATGTTTCAAAGGGTAGCACCAGTCCTACGGTGTGTCTATACAACGTGTGATCTCTGGTGGGAAAGTGAGTAGAGGGGCTCCATTCTCCCTGTGTGTAAGCAGGTCGACCTCCATGGTGCATGCTGGGACCTGTAGTTCAGTACTGTAGACTCATGCTGCTCTTGTTCTCAAAGGGAGAGAATGTGGTGGGAGGGGAATGCTTATACTACTGACGTGATTTATGTGAAGTGATAAATTGTGGCACTGTCACAATATGATACTGTGATCAAATGAATCCCTGACATTGCAGATGGGATGGTCGCCACTCTGCTTGTAATATCATTGGCCAGCGTTAATCCGGCAGTACCCTCTTTTACTGCAGCCCAATTGGCCACTTAATCGAGGATGACTACACACCCCGGCACCTAATCATCCCAACTTGAACTAGCCGCTGTTCACTTAACAGGCTCCACTTTAGAAGGTGACAATGTAACTTGAGTTATTTTACTGTTGTGCAATACAAGGACTGATTCTGACTGAAACCATGCTGAAAGCATGCATTTACTAAGATTTGGGACAATTTGATCAAATTTCAATATTACTCAAAATAACTCTAATCAAAATAAATATCACAACTATATTTTCTTTGCTCGGCTGTAAAATGCAAGTGTTTTAATGGACAAGTACAGATTAAACACATCAAACAGTTTAGCAGAAACACTTTACAACAAGCTTTTTGTAATGATGCAAAATTCACACCCAACACGATGCAACGTAAACTCCAGGCACTTCCCCTCAATGCTTCACGTCTTACATTCAAACCCTGGTTCTATATAATGTGTATATATCTCAATGTCAATAGTTACTGGACAGTAGCCTGTACAGTAGGTTGCCGAGTTACAACAGTTAAAAATAACGTACGGTATGCAGCGTCCTGCTGACTACTACCTCATCACTATTGTCCATACTTTTGATTTCAAGACTTACTCTTCAACATCATGACTGTATTGAAACATACCTGAGCCGTCCACGTTTCTATCAAAGATTTATTGTCTAGAAATGCTCCTGCCAAGATATTTGTAATTGTAGTCACCAGTTGTCTCTTACCCTCCATATGTCTGTTTGTAAAGGTACAGCATGCTTAAAGTTGACCTCATGAGTTGGCCATCAGTGGGCGTGACACCCATTTTGGTTATGAAGCGGGTACATGTTTTTATTAACATCAGTGTGTCAGAATTGGTCCCTTGATGATAAAATTGCAGTAAGGAACAGGTACTTTAAATTATTTCCTGCTCCTACATATACATATTTATGGTGTGAATTATATCATTTGGAAACAGTGTACATTGATATCTCTGATTGTTAAATCATCAATATCTGTGTAACTTTTATGTTTTGATTTCCTAAAAGGAACAAATAATTAAATAACTCCCAGAAGTCTGTGATTCATTTCTTATCCAACTACACTGTTGATTATGTTGTGATGTTAAAAGATCCCAAGCAAACCTGACCACATCACATACTAGTATTGAGAAATAGTGCATTTATAAAGTCACATTTGTAAAGATGAGGGATCATCTTTATTATTAATATCATTAGACTCAGAAAGTGGATCAGACAGAATACATCTATTTCTGTGTATTAACCACGTGCTGTATAATAATAATATGCCATTTAGCAGACGCTTTTATCCAAAGCGACTTACAGTCATGCGTGCATACATTTTTACGTATGGGTGGTCCCGGGGATCGAACCCACTACCCTGGCGTTACAAGCGCCATGCTCTACCAATTGAGCTACGTAGCACCCTGTATGACATTTGGCCTTCATCCATGTTTTACTCTCTCATGTCTAGGCTAGGCTACTTACTCATTCAGCTTGCAGAGTAACCTTAACCCCAACTCCATCCTCCCCTCAGTGTATTTACCCAATCTGCAGAGACACTAGCATGCTCGTCCACAGGGTTTACAGACACTCAGATTGTGCCTGACTTAATGCTGTGAATTCAGGAGCGTGAGAGCAGAGAGCAGCAGGCCACCGGCGACGGGCAGATGAGCTAACAGCCCCAGCCTCCACTGAGCCAGACCAGGAGCTGTGGACGTGAACCATAGAAAATGCATCCGTCACAGAAAACAGGCAGACACGCTAACACTACCGGGGGAAGGGGGAGGACTGGGATGGGTGGGGTTGGTGTGGTGGAGGGGAGATGGATCCATCATTTCAGGAAGCTGAGATTCCTGGGACTTGAGTATTCCCTGCTCTATATAATTATAAGAGGCAATTTCCTTTTTTGAAATAATGTCTCGGTAACCAATTAATTGTAATAATCCTCTATGTTGAAACTGCAGTGTTAAAGGACACCAGACAGTGCCGGGGTGATGGTGGATTCAGGTTGACTGAAGGAAGAAAGGAAAGAAAAGGGGGATGTATTCTCTCTCTGGTAGCTCCTACACATACTGTGTACATATCTGAGATGTAATGGGTACATTAAGAGTAATGGTATTTTCATGCAACATGAGGATCCTCCAGGCTCTCCAGTTATCCCAAGCTGTACAGCACCCTCTCAACTGATAACAGGCAGCTGTACATCCAGCCAGCCATTGACGAGTAAAAACACCTTTCATTAGGGCTACCACGCATCTCATCAGAATGCAATCTCCATCACAGCTGTATGACAGCTGTGTATTGCTTAAGTGTGTTTCATTATTCTCTGAGCAGCACTGATGATGGGGAGGGAAAGGATTACACTTCAGTGTGAGTGATAGGGTTTGAACAGAGCTGCTGCACACACTTTCCATCAACCAAAGGCTCAAATTACACTAAGGATGAAAACGGAGCGCGCAAATACCCAGGAGAACTTGTGGCACAGATATAGAGCATGGGCCACCATCTCTCGCTCTCTCTCACTCTCTTCCTCGCCCCTCCTCCCGCTCTCTCTCTTTCTCTCTCCCCCTCTTTCTCTCTTTCTCTCTTTCTCTCTTTCTCTCTCTCTCTCTCTCTCTCTCTCTCTCTCTCTCTCTCTCTCTCTCTCTCTCTCTCTCTCTCTCTCTCTCTCTCTCAGTCTCCCCTCACCCTGTCTAATCTTCCTCTTTTCTCTTCGTTTGAGTCCTCAGCTGCTCTGTACGATACGGTTGATCTTCCAGTCAGACTGATTTTTGTGTGTTTATTTATTGCTCCATTTGTGATAACAGGAGCGGGGCATATTTCACAGCCTAAGGGTATTAGTGTCTCTGACTGCACAATGTACAGACAACTGTTACGTCACTGCAAAATGTACCTCCAAAAGTAGGGTCAAATACTGTAGTATTGTGTTAAATATAGGGTCCTCTTTTCAGGGGAAAAACTGACCGTAAAGATTGTAGTGTCCAGTACTCAGGATCTGTGTTAG